TTAGATCTATTTCCCTGAAAAATGATAATTTCATTCTTCCTGATGGCAGCATAAAATTCTATTGTATGTATACATATATACATAAATATCTATACATGTAATTTTTAATTCATTCATCCACTGTAGGGTTCCTAGGCTGTTTCCTTTTTTTGTTGTTGCTCTTTTCTTTGTCTGTTGTGGGGCTTGAGCTCTGGGCCTGGGCTGATGTCCCTGAGCTCTTCAGCTCATCTAGCGCTCTACTACTTGAGCCACAGTGCCTCTTCTGGTTTTCTGATGGTTAATTGGAGTTAAGAGTCTCATAGACTTTTCTGCCCAGGCTATCTTTGAACTGCAATCCTCAGATCTCAGCCTTCTGAGTAGTCAGGATTACAGGCATGAGCCACCAGCACCTGGCCAGGCTTTTTTCTTAATGTATCTATTGTAAACTGCATTGGGATGTATGTATCTTTTAAAAATGTATGCAATTAATCTTTATACAAGATTTTATTTTACATTTTTATTGCAAAAATACTGTGCAGAGGGGTTCCAGTTACATGAGCAAGGTAATGAGTACATTTCCCATACAAGATTTTTATTCAAACTGTGCACACAGCATCTCAAAACTTGTAAAAAATAACGTAGTTTTGTAAGAATCCTTAGGCTTCCTGTGTGAAGAACTCATAAAACAAAACACAGGTTCGGTGAGGCTTTACTCTCCTCACATTTCCTCCTAATTGCAACATTTCAAAATATAAAAATATAACAAAATACGCAAAGGATAAGTGCACATAAAGCTTCTCAATACATTATAGACTGTAAAAATTAAAATATATTATGTATTTTATTATGCATAGCAGAGTTAAGGACATAAGCCAACTGACCTGATAATCCAATAACTGTAGAAAGCATTTATGTACCAACCAAGCAACAAGATCTTTGGACAGCAGTACAGAACTATCTAGCATCATAAGTATCCTTAGAATGAATGGTTCAAAGATTGGGACACAGGCCTTTTGAGAGAAAGGACTATTAGTTCAAAAAGTCTAGGCTTAAAAACTAGGATGACTTTTTGTTAGAAATTATAAATGTTGGTTTTGCTAACAGGTTCAGAACAGTTTGTAAGCTGTTGCATCTTATACTAACATTTCCATTTATATTCTTGTGTTAAAATTCAATTCAGTTCTAAATGCCAAAGACTATTCAGGAAATCTTCAAAGACTATTTGGGCAATAACAATTTGGTGGTGCTTATTTCCTTTCTTCTGAAAGAGTTCAGGATTTTGAGAACCCAAATTAAGAATTAGAGCATAAAAGACAGCTTTTAAATGTATTCGCTGATTTTTATGGAGCCAGATACCCACTCATCCACAGAGAAGAGTGCTTTTAAAAATGAGACATCAAACCAATGTAAGTTGACAACCTACAGAGACTGAGCTACAATATGGATATGTTACAAAAATAGGAGGATAGTTCTTGCCTTCAAAAAGAACTCATGTTCTAAAGAGAATCAAAGGAAGAAAATGAGTAAGTGTATACAGACAGACTGATGTTTCCATAAACACTGACACACAAGAAATTCAATAATTATATGAACAGTATGTTTAGGCCCAATTTCAGCAAACCATATTTCCCTGAGACCTGGTATATTAAAGACATGTGCCTTTAGTACTACTATAATCTATTTTCTTTTTATAAAGCTCTTATTTATGGGTAAATAGGTATAAGGTATGAATCTGGTTTCAAACATGGAAAAATAGTTTTAAACCTAAAAGACAATTAACAAAAATCAATAGTATAAGCATAGCTGAATGGACTATTATTGACATTAATAACTTAAAGTCAATAGTAAAAATAAACTTTTACAATAGGGCTTTAATGGTTAAAACTGTGCTGATACCATACTTCAATAGTGACCTCTTTTAAAGAAGAATTGACACAAATAATAAAACCAGGGAAAAATTTCCTAAATAATGAAAATCCTTCAGAACTCCTTATTGTATCTCAAAGTTCTACGTACTTTACACACACACACACATTTACACACACACATATTATGTGTGTAAGTGCATGGATATACATGTATAAAAACACAAACACACACAAGTATTCAATTTATAAAGGACAAATATATAATTAAATCTCCACTGATACTTTTCCACACATATACTCACAGAGATAGATAGCCAGCTTGCTTTATAAATGGAATTGGTCTTGGCCTAAAGTAATTATTAAATTTAGTATTTTTTCCCAAGAGCAGTTTCCTTGCCATTCACAGACATGGATGGGAAGGAGGCTTACTAGAGTAAGCAATAATGCAATGATCGACTGATATGTTAAAATATAAAGTATGTGTGGAGAAAAGGAAACTCTAGTGTATTATTTCTGGGAAAGAACAACCTACGGAAAATTCCACAATAAACTAAAAATAGAATACTACATGATTCTGTGGATATTTATTCAAAAGAACTGAAATTAATATATCAATGTAATGGCTATATCTCATGTTCATTGTATTGTTATTCACGGTAGTCAAGCTATGGCATCAGATATTCTATCCACAGATAGCAATGGAGAAAGAAAATATGGTATACATAAACAATGGGATACGACTTGGTATTTCAAAAGACATAAATCCAGTTACTTATGAGAACATGAATGGAACTGAGGAATATTATATTAAGATAAATGATCTAGATATAGAAACACAAGGAGTATTGGCTCTTACTTAGAAAGGATTCTAAAATAATCAGTTATCCAAACAGAAGTAGAGTGGTACTACTAGAGGATGGAAGGAAATAGTAATGGGGAGATGATGGAAAAAGGTTGCAAAGCTTTCAGTAGGCAGGAGGAATAATTTTGGTTTTTAACTGAGGTCTACTATGCAGGGCAGTTAATATAAGTGAAACATAGGATTGCTAAAATATTCACACTATGTTAAAGGGTGTTTGAGGTGATACATATAGAGAGATTAATTCGTTGATTTCATTATGCTACATTATATTCATAATTCATAGTATCTTGTGTAACCTATAAATACAAATACAACTATATTTTGCTATTCAACAAAAGAAAGCATTTTAAAACTATACAAACTATGGATTATAGTAATGATTTAATTCAGCATTAATGCAATATTTACAAACATGCTGAATATCTAACACTTATCTACATCAATAATTTTATCCTGAATTCTATTTATAATTCAATCAGAAAATCAAGTACTCTTAGAAAACTACAATTGTCTTCATGAAAGAAAGTAATAAACATTGGAAACTATGTCCTGTAGATAGGCATCACATTAATTAATTTTCACTTATTGAACTCATCTAAATTATTCTTCAGCATGGTTTAATTCCCAACTTCTGCAGTTTCTTGAGGTCATGAGTGCTATATGTCGATTAAGTAACAGGCACTTAAATTCTATTCCCTTCTCCATAACCTCAAATTTCATAGACCTGTTTCTGTACACTTTGCTTCATACACTAAGTCCATAGCCTCTGTGCTATAGATTTTATATATTGAGTCTGCTCAAATGAAGTCCTTTCGTTCCTTTAATAATTTCCTTGTTACTAAAATGGCAGCATTAAAATTAATGTTTAATATGAATATTATAAAGACTTAGATTTCATTGGTGGCTTTAAGAAAGACATAATAAGAATGATCATCAGTTACTATAATCCTCAATGCTTCATGTATCTTCTCCATTTTAAGTTCTCGATAAATTCCCTAGGGATGGTCAAGTACTGTTCATATAGAACATTCACCTGCAAGTCATCTTCCTGATCATAATTCCTATATTATTACTTTCTTTGTAAGTTTTCCCCAAAATATTCTGATTATTTCTTCCTTGATTTTATGAATCATATGTTAGTCCTGCCTTCACCAAACTCATGTACTTGTGGGGATTTTCACGATGTGCTACACTGTTTTCTCAAAAGATTTACATCTTGAGAGAAGACAGTATGTCATTATTTTATTATAAACCTTAAAAAAACTAGTGTAGAATACTATGGCCTGTTGTAGAACTTAAATATTTCTTGGTGAAATGAAAATCCCTCATTTTCAGTGAGTTATATGTGTTTTATAAAAACCAGAAAGAAAAAGCCAGCTACTGATATTGGTTTTGAGTTGACTTATGAGATTTAGGGCAAGCAATACCACATATACAATTTAAATTAATTAAAAGTAGATGTATTAGGCTTCCCTACATTAATGTCTTATAAATAATCTGATAAAAATGGGGTTTGTAAAACAAAAATTAATATAACAAAATTAGTGCTAGAAGCCTGTGTAACTCTTCTGTTAAAAGTTCCCCAGGTGAGACACACTTTTTTTCTCAAAGAAAAAAAGAACTTTTAACAGCTCCATCTTATTCGACTTACTAAAAAATACAGAAACTGAAATATCAGTCCTAATTTACTAATCAATATGTAACCATTGGTGAAAGTCACATTATTATTATTATTAATCTTTAGACTTTTGTAGGTAAAGCAAACTGAAACATTGTAATTAACTTTTCTCAGAATGTTAATTTTGTTAAATATTATATGGAAAATTATCCATCAGGGATTTATTTATGAAAGTAGATACAGCTTTTGGGGAAGTGTGTAGAGAAATAGACAAAGGAAACTTATAAAGACACCAAAGAACTGGCAAGATTGATAATAAAAATGATGAGAATAAATAGGTAAAATACACCATTTTTGGAACTTATAGATAAAATCACTAAATATTTTCTCATAAAAATTTTATTATTTATACTAAAATACAAGTGCATTTTTGTAGATTATTTTAAAATCCACTGCATATAGTTTTGTAAATTCATTTATTGTTAAGGACACCAGTTAAATTCATTACCTAGGCATGGGCAAAGCTACTGCAAATTCTGTCATCTTAGTATTTGCCCTGGTTAAGCTTCTTCAAATCTTGAAAACTACTTGTAATAAGAATGAAACTTCATATTCAAATGGAAATCACAATTACGGTAGTTTTAGGTTTTATTTATTATTTCATGCACTTTACCTGATTCTTGAGATCCAGTTTGGGACAGGGTCGACCTCTGTTGTAAGGTTTTTCTTTTAGCCACTTGGATCGAATTCTCACTCCAATCCCACAAGATGAACTGCAAGGACCCCAGCTAGACCAGTCACTTAACTTGCAGTCAAACGGGCAGGGAATGTTACACTCTTCTTCAATATAACCTGAAAGAAAAAGCTTCCAGTGAAAGGAAGAAGTCCAATTAAAATGTACTGATCAAATTCACTTTCTTTAAAAAAAAAATTTTTTTTTTGGGCTGGGAAGGTGGCTCAGTGGTAGAGCGCTTGCCTTGCATGCATGAGGCCCTGGGTTCGATTTCTCAGCACCACATACGCAAAAAGAAAAAAGCCGGAAGTGGCGCTGTGGCGCAAGTGGTAGAGCGCTAGCCTTGAGCTGAAGCGCTGAGGGACAGCGCCCAGGCCCAGAGTTCAGGCCCCAAGACCGGACCCAAAAAAAGAAAAATTTTTTTTATTGTGAAAATACTGTACAGATGGGTTACAGTTACATGAGCAAGGAAATGAGTACAACTCTTATCAAGTATTGTTGCCTCCTCCTTTGTTTTTTCCCTACCATCCCTTCCTTCCCACCTCCTCCACTACACTTCCCCCTTCCCCCACCCCACCTCAATACCTCCTCCCCCTCACCCCCGGCTTAAATTGTAAAGTTCTTTTTCAACACAGTGTCTTGTACATCTCATTGTTGCAGTGGATCATCCTGTATCCCTACTTAAACAATTTGTTTTTTCCCTTCCCCTCCCCAAATTATACCAACATCTAATACAGTGAAAACGGGTTTTACCACGGGGCGGGGGGAGGAGGGAGCATACAAAGTAACAAAAAAAAAAATCACATAATACCTTTAAATACATTAGAAACAAGAGCAAGAAAGAAAAAAAAAAAACGTGTGTCCCATAGATCCCATGGTTTCCCTTATTTTCAAATTCACTTTCTATTTCCATCATCACAGCTCAGATTTCCCAACAATATGGCTGCATTGGCTTGAATACTCAGATAAACAAACCAAAATTTTAAGAGCTAGATATGTAGAATAGTAACTGAAATAGTGCTATTCTGTTTATATTACAAGGGGCTGTGAAATGGAAGAACCAGGGAGGCATGCCATTAGTTCTAGTTTCTGATAAGAAGCAATGAAGCAATTCAGTAGAGCAATAGTGAAAAGTTGTACAATGAGAATATTGTACTAGAATCAAGGGAAAGAAGTGAGAGTAAGCTTCAAAAGTTCTCATTTTACTCAGTCTTATCAACCCCTTCTTGCTCCAAGCTTGGGATAATCACATTGTTTTAATTATCTCTCCTACTTGCAATGCCAGATAGCTATTTAGGGTCTGGAACACTAACACCTACTGAGCCACTCTTACACAATAACCCCAACTTCAACATGTATACAACTAAGGCCATCCATCAATTTCTTCCTAAATAATTTTAATGCTTTCATTTTCATTTGAATTAAAATCAAAACCACCTGATTCTTGTTCTCATGGTCTATTTTTGTATATTTGCTCATCCATGAGTATGTCAGTAACTGAGAATGAGATTTGATGTCATTCCCAGTATTAGGTTTTAATGTCCAATAAAGTTGAAGGGAATATACAGTACAATTAATGTGAAAATTCAGTTGATATGTCTCAGTTAATCCAAAAGGAAATTATATTGGGTTTGCCTGACTTAATCAGATGGAACCACTTAAAAGAAGGTCTTGGCCCTTTGTGGAGAGATAATGACCTGAAGGTTAATTCTGCCCAAAATGTAAGGAAATGGATCTTTACCTGTAAAGCCTCTAATTAGTCTCAACTTTGTCTATAACTTAATTATAGCTTGATTGCTCCATTAGACAGAAGATAAAGAGAAGAAACTATGCCTGGATTCTTGATATATAGAAAAATTGACATAATAAGGGTTGTTCTGAGTTAACAAAAATCAGTTTAAATCTGCTACACAAAAACCAAAAACTAACGAATTACCCAAAATAACAGTTCTGTAGCCAGGCAAGAATGGCTCATGCCTGTAATACTAGCTACTCAAGAGGCTGAGAACTAAGATCATAGTTCCAAAACAACCTGAACAGGAGTCCCTAAGATGCTTCCTTCCAGGAAAAAGCTGAAAGAAGATATGTGGCTCAAGTGTAGAGTATCATTCTTAAGGGGAAAAGCCAAAGCAGAGGGTGAGGCCCTGAGTTCAAGCCCTAGTACCAACAATAAATAAATAAAAATTGATAAATAAATATCTCATATTGTCTTAGACCCTGTCCTATCATTCTGCACTACATTGGTAGTTATTTTTTTCTGCTGTTAAAGCAGTTTATGAATACAATGCATCTTGATCAGTGTTCAACATTCTCAACCTTCTTTCACCCACCTCTTTCCTTACTTTTCTTAATTTTGTGGTATATAGAATGAACTCATTCTTTCATTTAAAATCTTCCTTTTTCTGGTTCAGAAAAATATAATATTCTCTCTAATAGTTTCCTTTTGATTTTAAATTCAAAGTTTCCCCCTTTAGTATCTGTAAACTCTAAGGACAAAAATATATTTGAAAATATTTTTTAAAGTTTATATTAACATGTCTTTTTAAAAATCTATACAGCTTCTCCACTGGCTTAAAAATGTAATAGCAGCCTACTGGTTTATGGTTTATGATATAAGTATAAAACAAAGCAAAAATAAACATCGAGGTTCTTCATGAAAAGCTCTAAGTGATGGTTTCCAATTTCATCAAATAAACTTTATAAAATAAACTCCATTTCCAGAAATCTACCATAGACTGAGATCTCAACCATGTAATTTAAAGGCTGGGAACTATAGCCAAACTTGTTTTTTCTGGCTTTTCCTCTCTTGCATCTTCTCCAAGAGTTGTACCTGCGTCCATATAGTATTTTATTTCCCTTGCCTGGTTCATTAATTCAACCATTCTTGACAACATAGATGACCTCCTTGTTCTGGTGTCCTTCTGCAATATATGTTGACACCTCAGACAATTGCCATTTTTATCTGTGTTTAAAGCAGGACTACCAATATACTCCCTATCACAAGCTAAGTTCCTTTGCTGCTTGCTCATTCATCTGAGTTTTCTTCTCACTCATTCTGCACAAGTGTTTTCAAATCTGCTCACCTCTTCAATCCTGGAAATAATAAAAGGAAATGTACCAGAACACTTTCAATTTCCTACCATTTTACCTATTTCCATTACCCAATTTTTCTTTTCTTCATATTGTTTAAAAACGAATACATTTTCTAAATGAGGCACATGTTTCCCTTCTACCTGATACATTTTTGGGTCTTTACAACTGTTTTATCAGTTGCTCTCTCTCTGTCTCTATTTCACTGTTTCTCTTCTTTGCTCATCTCTCTCTCAATACTTCCTCCCCCTTTTCTGCCTTTATTTTACATTTACATCTATCTTAATATTACAATTAAATTATCCAAATAATCTTCATTTAGAAAAAATATACTAAATTCAAGTTATTAGAAGAAACTCTGAATTTAAAAAAATATGAATTGAGATGATTAAAAGACTTTCATTATATTTACCATTAATTCCACAATCATCTCTAAAGATTTTGGTGCACTTCTTCAACATTAATGAACAATAAAAGCAACATAAAGGATTAAAATGGGGCTGAAAATAGAATTTTACAGAAAAATCAAGTCACAAAATTATTTCATTGGCTATCAAATGGAAAGATTTTAAATTTTATAGCATCTATGTTATGAATCTTCAAATATAAATTTCCAGATGATATCTTATTAATATATGTCAAACATTTGAATATCTGTCTAGAGATTATTTAGAGCAGATTTTAGATATTCTTTAAATTAAATATTTTTAAATTTTTCAATCTAAACTTTTATATCGAAAGATTTGATTATCAAGCCTCTTTGAAATACATTTTTTCACCATGATAAGAAGTGAACCCATTTATTGCTAATAAGGGAAATCATGGGACCTATGTTTCTTTGGTTTTGGCTTACTTCACTTAAAATGATTTTTTCCAAGCCTTTCATTTCCTTACAAATGGGGTGGTGTTATTCTTTCTGATGGAAGCATAGAATTCCAGTGTGTGTATGTGTGTACGTGTGTATCAATACTGCGTTTTCTTGATCCATTCATCTACTCAGGGGCAACTGGGTTGGTTCCATGTCTTAACTATGGTAAGTAATACTGTGATACAAATAGTTGTGCTGGTAGCTTTATATGACCTTGGATAAATGCCCAGAAGTGGGATTGCTGGTCATAGGGGAGCTCTATGTGTTGTCTTTTGAGGAACCATGCTGCTTTCCAGAGTGGTTGGACAAATTTACACTCCCACAAACAATGCAATAACATTTCCTTATTTGCAATAAATAATATACATCTATGATAATCATAGCAGATGAGCAGAACAGCTCAATAGCTATGTAAATATAACCATATAAGATGTGTCTAAGCAAAATGAATTCCAAGACAAGGACACAAGAGGTTTTGTTTCGTTGTTGTTGTTTTTAATGTACTATGTGATTTCTTGTTTCTTTTGTATGTTCTTCCTCTTATGGTATATCCCCTGTTGTCACTGTATTGGATTTTGGTATCCTAGTATTGTATATACGGTTTCTGAATTAGAGAAGGGAAGGGGAACAACAGAATGGTGAGACAAAGGACAAGAGGGGAACCAATGCAACAGCGATATACACAAGACAATATGTTGGAAATAATCAGCACAACTTGGTGGGGGGATGGGGAAAGAGAAAGTTGGAGAGAAATGAGAGAAGGGGTAACAAGTTTGACAAGAAATGTACTTATTACCTTACCTATTTAATTGTCACCCCTCTAAACATCACCTTAACAATGAAAAGAAGTAAATGCATAAATATACTATGGCTGCTTAGAAATAAAGAAGTGAACTCAGACGATGTTCATTAAAGAAATGGTTTTAGTTCGTTTTCAACAAACTTTACAACTTTGGTGGGGGAGAGCGGGGAGGATTAGGTGGCTGGCTGGGGGTGGGGAGGATGGGAAGGGATGGGAAGGGGAAACAAAGGAGGAGGCTACAATGCTTGATAAGAAATGTACTCATTGAGAGATCGGGACAAGATGGCGGAGGAGAAGCTGGAAGCTGAACAAGCTCTCGCATAGAAAGCAGTTTTAGAGTTCCAGTGAACAGTCCTAAG